GTAGAGCTAAACTCTGCAGGAAAGTGGATCTCGCGAGCCAGATTTGAGGATCACTGTCTTGGAGTCTTCACTAATGAGCTGATGAGTTGAATCAGGTGTGTTTGAATAGGGAGACATCTAACATGTGCAGTGTTGGGGGTTCTCCAGGACCAGGATTGGGAACCACTGCTGTAGGCGAAAAGCTTCATTTCAAATATACTGAGAGCAAATCTACGTGAAATATGCTTATCTCCTCTGGAGGATGCCTTACATAAGCAGTGCAGTGCTAAATTGATTAAAAGGTTTTATGGAGCACTGTTAGAATCTTCAAGGGAAAGCACGCGTGGGTCTAAGGAGCTGTGGGAAAGGGATCTGGGTTCTCTGATTGATGAGTGTGATTGGGATGCCATGTGGCTAGGGTTGTCTGGATATTTAATTACAGTACGGTGCATCTCATTCTCATGGACTGAACCAGATTTGTCACTTCTTGCTGTGAGATGTTTCCCCACTCTTCCACCAAGGCACTTGCAAGTTCTTCTTTCTCACTGCAAGAACAATCAGCTGTCCTTCCTTTCTCTCTGTAGCACTGTCTTATACCTCTTACATTACACACATTGCAGTTTATTGCTCTGGCCACATGTGCAGTCCTCATATGGCATGTTCCTGCAGGTGACCCCGGGTATCTTTCATCTGGTGTTTTTCAGAGTCAGAGGTCTCTTTAATGTTGAAGTTATTGTATCTGTGACCTGCCACCTGTAAACAGTAAGTGTCTTAAGGACTGTTCCACAGGTGCATGTGCAATAATTGTTTATGGTTCCCTGAACAGGCATGAAAAACATATTTTAAACCCTTTCCATTAAAGTTGTGTAAAGCTTATGTGGATTTCACAAAATGAACTTCAAAATACACTATGCTGAAAAATGGAAGCTTCTTTTTTATGACTATTTTTACACAAGCAAATATACCTATTCCTCTTACCAGACTTTCATTGTGCAGTTTCAACTGGCTGTAAACAGAAAAAAAAAACATCTGACAAGGTAACCATTGAAAGAACGGATCACTGACAAACATAAATACTGTCACTATTTATTAGTGAATTAGAAATGTATATCACAGATATATCTAACCATTCAGTGTTTAGTTGTAAACGTCATTAAGGTTGTTGACAGTTTTGCAGCAGATCAACCTTAAAATTTTACACTGAAAATTTACCATAAAAAATACATCTTTTATTTAGGGTACATGCAGTAACAATACAAAACAGTTGTTAGCAAAGATGTTTAACATGTAAAATATTTTTTTATCGAATGCATTGCAATGTTTTATCAGTAAACTTTTTGGTAATGTACTCCAGTACAGATATCAAGATATGAAGTTATTTGACAGATATCAAGGAATAAACCTAAAGGAAGAAAATATGTGGGCTGCTAAAATATGCTGACATCTTTACACGTGGTCTTCATGACTCTTACACTGCAAGTCATTCTGGGTACATTAATTTTCTATGAGAACTACAAAGAACAACAAGGCCAGTTCACTTCTGAAAACAATTTTTCAATAACATTTTGTTTTTCAGTTTTCATAACATAACATTTCAGTTTTAGCTAGAGATATATCAAGATATTTACAGTCATTCCAACAAGTCTAATCCTTCACAGAATGTGTTCAGTAAACAAATTAATTGATACATACACAAAGGGACATTACCACCATCTTTATATACATGTAGCAGTTATCATTTACTTAGATACGGTTTCTTGAAACTCGCCAGAATCTGATGGATTGCATTCCTGTACAGTTGCTTTACGACCGCGCAAATAATGCACAAGTACTAATAGAGCAAAAACAGCCACTACTAGGAATATTATCAGCCCAGCATACCCTCCTGGGGTTGACAGTGCCCCTCTCGCTATAGAATTCGGTGACGGTGTTGTGAATACTTGACCATTATATAGACTATGAACATGAGTGCACTCAGTTCCATTAACGAGGATGAAAGGCTCATAGCATGCACATCTATAACTTCCTATGGTATTTATGCACTTGTGTGCGCAGCCGTGATTTGATTCACATTCATCTACATCTTCGCAGGTTTGGTCGCTTCTAACAAAACCAGCCGGGCACCAACACACCGACCCGCTTCTCATACACAACGCCTCACAAACTTTCGATGCGCAATAGAAATCACAGCGGCGTGGATCTCGTGCATTTGGACGGAATCGCTCCTTACATGAACACCTATATCCGGCTTCCATAGGAGTGCATGCATGTTCACAGGGCGCAAACGTGCACCGTGCATTATCCAGAACGACCGCACGTCCTTTGCAAAGATCCCCTTGAGAGTCCTCACACAAAAATCCATCCAGTTTGTCCGCGCATGGTCTCGGCGTCCGCGTTCCGTAGCTGGAGACAGACATGCAGAGTGGAACGCACGGCGCTTCTCCGGTCTCCAAGTCGGTCCATTCGCCTTTGCGTAATGCGCTCGTATTACTTAAACACTTGCCGCTTGGTAGATGGAGTCCGGACCAAAAGTGCCCGATCAGGTTGTCAATAAGATAGTCGACAACTTTATCTGATGCATTCGACTGGACAGATAACTGACCGCCCCGTTCTCTGCAATTCTGTTCAGCCGCTTGGAAGTCCACTGGCATTTGGTAAATGTTTGCACAGTGTTTTAGATTGCTTGAACAAGCACAGCTACATACCATTCCAGCGCAAGATGAAATAATCACGATGAACAAAATCGTTTGTTTATGATAATCCATCTTATTTTGATTTCAAGAGGTAGCCTACAGCAGCTTAAGCTGCATGAGGATATGGTGTTCAACGCTTTAAATATTTCTACCTTTTGAAACCCCATTCAGGAGATAAAGGAAGGAAACCCCGCCTGAGGGAGTCAAGAAATACTCCGGAGTGACATGGTCACAGTTTGTTCTCATAAATGTGATGCACGCACTGCACACTCTCGGAAGAGCATTAATGATCTTGACGAAAATTACGCATGAATAGCATTTCAACTGGTTGTGGTCACAAGAGTTTAACGCTCACTGCTAAAGATCCAATCGTACAGGAATTCACTCACGCACGCACGCACATTAAAAGCTTAAGCTTATCTCCATTGCTGAACGATATGCGGCCACGACCCAGAGTTTAGTTCCGACCCTAATTAAACGCATCAGAACCCGCTAATCAAGGTTTTCAGAATTAGTTGCTTATTAGGTTACATGCAGGTGGGTTTGATTAGGCTAAAAACAAAACTCCGCCGGTGTTATGGCCCAGCGGAGTTTGACCTGCCCTGTTATATAGATCAAGCGGCGCAAGCCTATAAAGAACATTGCGCTTCAAGCAAATCTTTACATCGACACTGAAACTAGTTAAATGAAGCTTTATTTATTCTACCAAAATGTACAGAGATTTTTTTTATACAACAATAGTACATATCATATACATGAAGTTAAAAAAAGTAATATAAGATTACGTTTAGTGAAGTTTGTGAACAGGTCTAAAGCTTGTCCAAACGTTAACTTTTATATAGTTAATTTAAAGGGGAGAGTGGGCTAAATTGTCACAACTTTACTCAAATGAAATGAATAGACATATCCCAGAATAGGTTAATTTTTAAAGTTAATTTCTCTATATGTACCTTGCATTCTTCTCTAATACAGACTGTAAAATTCCATCATGATTCCATTTCCAGAAAGAAATACTAAGTTCACTCTACGTCCCAAAGGCCACCATCGTGACGTTTTCAGCAAAATAATTCTGAAACAAAGCAATTAACTAAACAGCAAACATGTAATACTATGGTAAAAAGCGAAAACAAACATATACAACTTGCTTTAAACTTAGTAGCCTATCCCAGTGTGGTTTTATTATTTTCAATAATTTGTCCAACGTTTACAAAAAAAAAGGATAATTCTGGAATTCCAGTTTAAAGGACGGAAGTCACAAAAATTCTACACATTTTTATAGGCTATAAAAAGGGGGAAACAGCATTTGAGTAGCCTAAATTAACCTTTGAATTTGATGCTGACAGAAAATGAACATTCATATTTGGGCTTCATTTAATCATTCAGTTGACTGTTGCTCTTTTTATGCTCTTTGTCCATTCCAGATGAAACCCAGCAGTAGTTGTCAGCAGTGACATTTTTCAAAGCGGCTTTTCTTGAACGATTCCATCGGTGGATAACAAAGACAGACATGAGCACAATGATCACAATCAATGGAATAACTGAACCCAAGACACACACCAAAATCCAATAACTTCCGAGAAAACTTTCTTTGCGTTTACTAGAGTCCGCTTTAGTGTTTGTCTTGTTAAGTGGAGGGGTGTTGACTGTTGACGGTCCAGAAGTGACAGGTAACTGACTCAGTTTAGTGATGAACTCTCCTCTGTGATCTGGAGATTGAGTGATTTGTATTTTCTCCGTGGGATCCGGGACGCAGCTGATGCCATTTTTAGCCAAAATGAAGTTTTCCCTACAGGAACATTTGAAACTACCCAAGGTATTGAGGCAGATATCTTCACACGGTCTACTGACACATTCATCGATATCTATACATTTCCTGCTATCGTTTGATGATGAACTGTAACCTGCGTGGCAGTAACAAGAGAATGAACCCTGTGAATTGAGACAGCCCTGTTGACAACTGAACTGAACAAGCGAACTGAATTCGGTGCATTCGTCCACGTCTTCACATTTGCCAGCAACAAGCCTGAAACCGGGTTTACACTCACAAAAATAGCTTCCCGGCGTGTTTTGACACCTGTGTTCACCGCAGGTACGTTGCTGACATTCATCGATATCAACGCAACTGACGTTGTCTTCAGTCAAATGAAATCCCTCCGCGCATGCGCATGAAAACCCAGTGGCAGTCGGTATACACTCTGATTCGCAAGGTGAATTTTCGCAGTTATTTCTGAGAGCACAACTCACTTTATCATCCTTGAGGTAATAGCCTTCACGACATTCACAACGAACACCTGCTCCTGCAGTCTCAAAACAATGGTGATCACAGCCTCCGTTTTTGCGTTTGCAACTTTCATTTCGTGCGCAAAAACGCTCAGTTGTCCAGCCAAAAAGAGCGTTATTGTTGACACAAATTGAGTCAAACGTTTTTGCATCTTCCGAGCCGCCGCATTGTATTTTAGCCAATGTCCCATGTGGTAACATCGCCAACCTTTCATTTGGAGTTAGCGGTTTAAATAAGAACGGAACGTTATATTTGACATCACCTGGTTCTTCCAACAGAATTGGTTTGCACATTCCTTTGAAGAGAAATTTGCACATATAAAATGCGCTGTCTCTACATGAGCCATCGGACCACTTGAGACCATCTACCAGTGAAATCGACACGCACCTTTTTTCCGTGCACGTGCTCAAAGGTTTCTTTTTCCAGTTGGAATATTTGGAATCGGTTGGCGCTGACGTCCATCTGAAGCCGTTTAATTCCTCAGTGAAATCGGTGCAGTTTCTTTTCTGTAGCGCAAGCCCGATCCAAACTTTAGAGTTAAGGATGTTGTATTCTCCTGCTGCTAAAAGAACCGATTTGATGCTCTGAAGTTCATTTTCATTTCTCATAGTAACCAAATTGCCGCCATTGTTGATACAGTCTTCTGAGGCTTTTTCAAAAAGTTTTTCCTCCAAATGCAACGTTAGGCAAGCCTCAGGGGTGCATGTTGTGCTCACTCGAACGGTCCCGCCAGAGACAAAACAGGATAACATCAGAATCAGTACGCGCATCATCCCGTCAGTATCATCAATAATAAAATACTACTCGCTTTGACGAGAAAATATTCCGTTCATCTCTGAGGCTGGAGAAGGAATTGTTCCTAGGCCTTCCAAGTACCAGAACATGACTCAAACTGAAGCATCCTGTTTAGTGAACAACCTACAAAGGAAATCTTGTTTAAGCAGCAGGCTTCATATGTCTCTTCTCAGAGCGAGTTCCTGCCGCCAACAAAAAACAACTGGCCGTGGCTGTTTATTGTTTCGACTACTTTCCCAGATGGCAACTCACAATGTGACACCAGTATAATTTTAGATGTAGACTGAGAATCTGATTTAGATAGTGAAAAAATATATTTCATAGAGCAGGCTAGGCCTACGTTTACAACATGTTTTAAGATATTCAAGTTTCACAATGCTATAGTGTCCGGTGAAAAATCATATTCACACCATATTAACCGCATTATTCAGTGAACAGGGGTCATATAATAAGTACCAAGAGCTCGCAAATATGAAGCTTAAAGAGTTCTCATGTCAATTCTAAATGAAGATTAAACATTAAAAATCTGAGGGACAGCTGTCACACCTTATACTTAAAAAAAAAAAAAAAAAAAAAAAAAGAGCGTATCATTAATGCACCTTCTGTGTTTTATACGTCTCATTTGCACCCTACTGTACTGTATCCACATTGCACTATATTAATGTAGATTTAGATTGCTCTGTATTTCGTAGATAACTGCATTGAGCTGGTCTCTGCACCTGTCCCTCATAAATATTTATTGTACATACACACACTTACATTTATATATTTATTTATATATACACTTATATGCACATATGCACTTCTGGTTAGATGCTAACTGCATTTCATTGGCCCTTCTGCACAATGCACAATGACAAAAGTTGAATCTAATCTGAATCTAATCTAATACGTGCAGCCAAACAAATTTGAAATGTGAATATGAATGATTCATGAAACACCAAAAATGTAAAAGCATAAAATACAAAAATTAACACCAATATATAAAACCACTGCTAGAGAAAGCATACATTTGTGTAATGTACTTTTATAGCCCTTGTGACAACTAGCTCCGAAATGAGACTGAAGACAGACTACATGCTTGGCCACAAAAGTTAGTTATGTTTTTTTTCTGTATTTTACATGGAAACAAACATACAATTTGTCTTGCTATTGTGTCTGTTGCCTGCCTCTTGCTGATAAATCTAGCCATGGGTCACATCCTGTGTTTGTGTTAAGCAGGACAGCGCCTCTGTTTGAATGGCAGGAAAAGACCTAAGACACCCTTCCGGTGGGCCCTTTGGACCCAATGTCAGTGCAGTAGAAGTTGCTTAGTTTTTCTTAGTCATTGGGAATTGTGTTCTTTCCTAACATTGTCTTCAACACTGAATTGCCAAAGTGATGACAGATAATGAACCTCATCAGAAATTCACAAGAAAAAAAAAAAAAAAATAAATATATGCCTATACATCTCTCTCTCTCTCTCTCTCTCTCTCTCTCTCTTTTAAAACAGAATACGTCCATCAGCTTTTGTCCCATGAACTCTGATTCTAGTTTTGTAAACAGTTTCCTTCCTCTTTGGGTTTTTTTATTTATCAGGGACCTCTGTTCTTATCAGGGATCCATACAACCTCTCATTTAAATTTATCACACACTCTTCATGTTGGTTGTAATCCAAGAACTAACCAAAGACTGTTACAGCAGTTGAGCATAAATATTAAATAAAAAATGTATTGTTGAATTGTTCTTATGGAAGACCTATCAACAAACACTTTATTATGGGAACTATATTGAATAACGTTCATTCCAAAGTGGAAAAACATTCTCAATGTTACATAAATATTAATATTAATACATGTTTGTTCACATTATACTGTCATGAAGATTTCACAATCATTACACGCCATGATGGGATTTAAAGTCACTACTTTAATGTCAGTGACCTCTGATGGAGAACTGGTGACATGACACCTGTATGCACACACACACACACACTTGAAAATACATAAAGAATCTTTTAATTTTTGTTAATCTTTGTTAAATTTTTTAAAAATGTATTCATTCACAAAAAAAAAAAAAAACGTACATAGGCTATAGACTAGAAATGATCAACTTAATACAGCATACTGTTTGTAGGCTGCATATGAGCTAGATTAAAAAGTTTTATTTGTGTAGAAATGTAATCTATTTTCTGCTGCATTGAAGGGTCACAGAAGCATGTAGTCTCCATTACTCTTAGTGGAAGAAGTTTGAAACAAGCAGGACTCTTCCTAGAGCTGGCATCCTGGCCAGGCTATATATATATATAGGCTATATATGGAAAAAAAATTATTTTCCACACTCATTCAAACCCTTTGTCTCATTCAAGCCCTTTTGTCTAAAAATGATCCGTCTTTTAAAGGGGTCATATGATGCTGCTAAAAAGAACATTATTTTGTGTATTTGGTGTAATGAAATGTGTTTATGCGGTTTAAAGTTAAAAAAACACATTATTTTTCACATACTGTACATTATTGTTTCTCCTCTATGCCCCGCCTTTTTGAAACGCGTCGATTTTTACAAAGCTCATCGGTCTGAAAAAGCGAGGTGTGCTGTGATTGGCCAGCTATCCAGTGCATTGTGATTGGCCAAATACCTCAAGCGTGAGACGAAAATGTTACGCCCCTCACCATACTGTTGATGCCGTGTCCGGCCGGAGCGACGAGACATAAACATTAAAACCCATTACAAACGAGGCATTTGTTGCATCCAGTGGGGACATAATTACTGATTATAATGACTTATACTGTCTTTTTACACGTTGCGTTGCATTGCGCCGCGTAAACATAAAACTCTGTCTGCATTTGTGATCAGAGAAATGACAAACAACAAGTGCTACTCTACTGCCCAAAACTAGCGTTTGAATCATCAGTGGCAAATCCTTTAAATGAAAACGTACTTACGTGAGTCAGAACTGCCGGCATTTTAGTCTAATGTTACTCTTCCAGGATAAGTAAACAGTCCTCCATAAAATACGCTGCACACATCTGGATATTTGGGTTAAACTGTTCTGGAACAGTGTTGTAAATACAATATGGTATGAATGCTTATGCAATGGAATCATTTAAGTTTTTTTATTTTTAACAAGTTTGCAAAGATGTTGAAAACCTGTTTTTTGCTTTGCCATTATAGTGTATGGAGTGTAGATTGATGTGGAAAAAAAGTAATTTAAAACATTTTAACGTAAGGCAGCAACATAACAAAATGTGAAAAAATGAATACTTTTGCAAGGCACTGTAATTCTAGGGATGCCATTTAAAATAAACCATCCATTTGTTCCTGACGCCGGGATCCTTCTGATGTGTCATTTTTGGAACTGCTTTGTTCATAGTGAGGAGGACGTTTTAAGCTATGAAACTTGTAGGATGTTTTAATGGTACAAAGACGTTTTATATGCCAAAAGATCAAGGCAAATTTGATTTCTCATGTCATGATGCCTTTAAGAAATAGGGTTTTTTCTTCTTTTACTTTTCCAAAAAACAACTTTCACAGTTTCACAACGATTACAAGTTCTTATTGCTTGGCACTATATATGAACTTTGTACACTGACCATACTTGATCTGACTTGACTGGGGTTTTATTTGCATTTACTGTACTGGCATGCTATTTACATTCCTAAGTAGGCCTACTTGTCAAGTGTGTTAATTTGCCAAGAAATGACTCTCTGAACTTACTTGAGGCCAAGTTAAACCATATCAGCATATTGTGCATTGCAACAGTAAAATGGGCCAATATGGCAATAATTTATAGATTTATACATAATATATACTGTATAATATACAGATATACATAATATGTATAATATATAAATTACAGATAATATAAATTGTAATTCATGATCATTATAATGATGAAACATGTGTAGAATGCAACATTCAAAGCAAGTCTAGGCATGACAAACCGGTATCTGCTGCACTGAATGCATTTTTTGGAGGCTTTACATAAACCCTACTGTAAAAGAGTGCTAAAATAAACTATGATGGTATCCTAACAAGCTGCATACATTTTATAATTCTGGCACCGAAATAAACAGTGCACATCTGTCCAATTTTTGTGTCTTCTGGGGGGAAGAAATGTTTTTTAATTTCCATACTGTGAAACATCTTTGCCAACTTTTTTTTTCTATGCCAAATGTGAAGGATTTCAGTTTCTCAGAATAACAAAGGCTCAGATTAACGTCTGCCAATCACCTCTTTGTTAATAAACACATAAGCTGGGAGTTGGGTGGGGCTTCTGCAGGTGTTTTAAAAGTGTGAAGTAGGGCAAAAGTGTGTAAAAGCCAGTCACAGACAGAGAAGACTACCAGTCATTTGAGTGAAATTTCTTGTTCCAGTGATTTGTTGCATCATTGAAGGTACGTTTGCATTTTATTCATTTCAGTAAATGCAATAAGTTAAAGTTCATTAGAGTAATAGGAAGGGATGGTCTATATTCTACTTGTAGATACAAACTAGTTGGTGGAAAACACACTTTATCCTAATGAAAACTGATCGAATTGTATTAATACTCGTATGAGTTTAATTACATTTCATTTTCATTTATATTGTAATCTATGCAAAGTACTTGTGTGCTAGTGTAAATTTACATTCTGTGAAAATTTATTACACACTGTGTGCATACCTGAAGCATAAACATCAGAGCATGGCAATAACAATAGATACAATTTATACTATGAATGCAATGTAAGTTGCTTTGGATAAAAGCTTCAAGTGCCAAATATAGGTGTAATGTAAATGTAAGTCCAATACAGGAAAATCAATAACAGGATGGAATTTGTTTAGGTTTAATAGAAAATGTGGACGACTACATCCAAAGACTAGAACAGCAAGACATGTAGACATGCCAAAGATAACAGTCATCTATAACTGCGAGATGTACACATGCATTGAGCTGTCAGGGTATAAATGATTTTTAAATGAAGAGGAACAGTTTGTGGCTGGGATTTCTGGTGGCAGAGAATGTCATGTGGTAAATCTGCTGGACATGATAGAGCTAGCTTTTTTTCACAGCATTGTTATATATTCAGCAAAATTGTTTCTGAACTCTTCCACAGATGTGTGGCTTGATGCAATCCTGTTTCTGAGCTCTACAAGCAGTTCTTTTGACCTCAGGGCTTGGTTTTT